CCCATTGGCAATTTGGGTAACCTCTTCAGAGGGTGGTGTGATAAGAATAGGAGGCAGGAATTGGCTAGGCAGTTAGGGTAAAAAGACCCCCAAAGAAAAGTAGTCAGTTTCTGGGCTAAAAGTCAAAATGTCCTTGGGCCTGTTAGCAACATACTCTGTTCCAAAGGCCAAAAATGTCAAAAGTATTTGGGAGCTTGTATCAAATCCTTAAAAGATTTTAGGGTTATCTCTTCAGAGAGGGGAATGTTGGAGGGGAGGGAGAGGGCATGGATTTGATCAAAACACCTTATATGCATGTATGAAATTCTCAATGAAGTTTTTGTAAAAGTTAAGGAAAAAAGAAAATGATCACTAGACAAGGCCAAGGCATGGATAAGCAGAGTGCTGTTTCATGTGTTTGTATCTCTGGCATCACACACACACACACACACACACACACACACACACATCTCTCAGTTTGGAGAACGTTAAAATGGAAGATAACTTACTAATATTAAATCACATCCACATTGATAATCTCATTCTGACTACTTTGTTAATGTAAGTACCCTCTTTCCAAGCATAACTCAGAGGTTCAAATTCCTAATAGTCTTAGCTATAAAGTTTGTGGAACCCCTTATGAAATAAAATTTATTGTCCCTCCTAAAATGCAGAAAAATCATTGATTAATATAATATAAAACTTCCCATATAAATTCTTTATTATAGAATATTCAGGGACTGGAGGGATGATTCTTCAATTAAGGGCTCTGGGTGCTCTTGTAGAGGACCCGTGTTCAGTTCTCAGCACCACTATGGCAGCTAACAACTGTCCATTGCTCCATTTCCCAGGGGTTCTGATATATTCTTCTGATGTCTGTGGGCACTGCATGACATGGGTGCACTTACGTACATGCCTGCAATACACTCATACATATAAAAACACTAATAAATAGACTGAAGATTACAACAGCATTTTATACTTATACAAATAACGGAATGATTTACAAACTGAAAAAAAACCCTAAGAAATTTATATAAAATATTAAGACACTGTAAAAATGATGTCTTGATGTACTCATAAGGTTACTTGGTTTGTCTTTCTACAACTTGACACATCAGATTTTGAAAGTTAGTTCTTTTAACAACTTGATTTTGAGCAGAATTACTGAATATGTTTCTGGATTTTCTCTAAAAACAAGATGGCAATTTTTGTCAATTTCTGATTCTGAGAAATGTCTCCAATAATTCTGGAGATCAGAAGACTATTTTATTACATGTTAGTGTAAAAATTTGATTAAATATTTGAAACATTAATTTTTATAATCTGGGAATAATGTTTTTAGTGGAACAATTTTTTAATTTTATTTATTTTAGTATCTAACACTTTTTTATTGTTAAATTTTTTTGTGTATTTCATATAGAACACCTCAAACAATCTTAACCATCTTTATACCTCCATACCCACTGGCCCTCTCCCATAGAACCCCTCACTGGAGCCCATATACTCGGTTTGTGTGTATTTACAGCAGCTGTGTGACACATAGAGTAGTATGAGTCTTGGGAGAACAGTGTTACATCGTTGAAACTCAGTATCATTTTCACATCCCCATGCGATCTGTTATGTCTGTTGTTTTCTTCTGGCACTTGGGAAACATCAGAGGTAGAAGATAAGTTCCAATCTGGCTTTCCATTCCTCTTTGTAACATTAACAACTTTATGGTGAATCAAAGTAAGACTAAATCCATAGTCAAATAAATTAAATAGAGCTTGACTAAAAATGAAAATCATCACTACATGAGGTGATGTGGTAGTAGGCCAAGGCATGGATAAGCAGAGTGCTGTGTTCAGAGCCTCTTTTAAGGTACTTGTATCTTAGACACACACACACACACACACACATATACACAAACACATGCACACAAACACATACATCTCTCTCACATATTTTGGTTTGAAGAACATGAGAATGATAGATAATTTACTAATGTGAAATCAAAGTACATATTGATAATCTCATTCTGATTCTTTTGTGAATTCAAGTACCCTCTTTCCAAACATAACTTGGATTTTAAATTCCCAACAGTCTTAGCTATGTTTGTGGAACCCTTTATGAATGAAAATTTGTTGTCAAGCTGAAAAATCAGAAAAATATTGACTGATATAATATAAATCTTCCCTTATGAATACTTTATTACTGAATACAACAGGGGCTGGAGGGATAGCTAAGTTGTTAAGAGCACTGGCTGCTCTTGCAGAGGTCCCGTGTTCGGTTTCCAGCACCCATACTGTGGCTAACAAGTGTCCATAACTCCAGTTCTACGTGATCCAATACCCTCTTCTGACCTTCCCAGGGATTGCACAGCATGGATGCACTTACATACACATCTGCAATACACTCATAAACATAAAAAGTAAAAATAATAAATAAAATACAGAAAACAACAGTATTTCATACCTATATAAGTAGCAGAATAAACTTAGAAACTAAAAAAATGGTGTAATGAATTTATATAAAATATTGACACCGTAAAAATAATGTCTTGATGTAATCATAAGATTTCTTTTGATTTATGTTTCTATGATTTGATATATCAGAGTTTGAAAATTAATTCCTTTAGCAACTCAACTTTGAGTAGAATAATTGGACATGTTTCCAGGTGTTCTCTGTGAAAACAAGAAGCAATTGTTGTCAATTTCTGATTCTGAAAAATGACTCCAATAATTCTGGATCTTAGGAGAATATTCTATTATATGTTATTGTAAATATTTGATAAAATACTTGAAACAAATTTTAGTAATCTGGGAATGATGTTTCTAGCTGAGCAATTTTTTAAAGACAATTTAATTCTTTACACAAGTCAGTTTCATATCAGTCAGAAGTTTAACTGAATTTTGTGTATCAGCCTTTTAACTTTTCCTCAAACATTCATTTAATTCATGGAGAGCTGATAAACTGAAAGAGGCTTCATGATTCACATACCGTTTAGAATTCATGTTTCTGTATGCTTTCACCCTATAGACAATTATAAGGAAAATTAATACTAAAATCATATTCTTTCAAGAATTTGTTCATTAGAAAGTCATGGAACCTGTTCTCCACCAAGCTAAAATCTTCAAATTTGAATGTCATTGTAAAACCTGTTAAGTCACTTGTCAGTAAAGTATCACCAAGATTCTAAACTTTTCAAGAACTCTACTGTCTCTCCTTAATGCTCTGTTTGCCGTGTGTGTGCTCTCGCGCTGTAATCCTCTACTAACAGCTATGATGACTCACTTTGAGGCTCTGCAGAGCTCCCGAGAGCCTTCCATGTATAGACCTTAGACAGGGACACCCAGCTGCTCAGCTCATGGGCCACTGCTGTGTCCGGGACCTGAGCTGCATGTGCTAAGCTCTGTGTGTCTCTCTGCTCAGACCTCTTATTGCACGCTTCCTGCAATACACAAGGCAATGATGAAGTTATTAAGAATTGAAGACAGCAGTAGCAGAACATGTAACTAGACCCCCCCCCCCTGAGGGCCAGGAGACACAGGACTCCACAGGTCACTGGCCCAGAAAGCTGGCCCTGACACCAGCTTTACTGGGTGTCCTAGTTCGTTTCTCCATTGGTCAGACAAAACACTCTGACCAATACCAACTTGGGGAGGAGCTAGAGTATTGTGCCTTAGTCAGGAATGTAACC